TTTAGCTGACTGCAAACTATGAAATGGATTTTCTGAATGTCAGGAGGGTCTTATTGCTCTGGGTTCATGAGACATGCCTCCGTTCAAGAAATCCATCCCATAGTTTGAAGCCAACATGCATCATGGATCGGAGATCTCTGCAGGTTGGATCAGAAAAATCCGATACATAAATTATGCTGGTATCGGAGGCCGATCCAGATACCGGATCAGATCTGCCCCATCCCTATCCAGAGGCACCCAAACAACATCTTGCATAGAGCCCCCACAAAGCTAGAAACTGTGCGAGATGCTCTGATATGTTGAGGATGATGCTCAGCTACTACTAAACTGATTTTTAGCTAAATATTTGGAAAACTGGCTGTTACAAGCATTTATGCGTTTGATAAATGGCTTAGCTATAGCAGTCATCTTGTATGAAGTTGGCGCCAAAAGTTAATCAGTTGTAGATCTGATTTAGTTGTAGAAATGCATCCAGTGATTATGTCCTGAAACTTACAAAAAAATCTGTCCATTGGTCCACTCACACACACACACAAACAGGCAAAAATGGGGTTCCAGAGTTGCAGCACTGGATTCTAAGGATTACTGTGCTGCACTTTATCTAGATCTCTCCAAAGCTTTCAATACCGTAGATCATGACATCTTCTGTCATAAGTTCTCAGATATTGGTTTCTCAGATTACACTGTTGAATGGTTTTCTAATTATCTCTCAGGTGGAGGCAATGTGTTCAACACAAGGCTCAATGGGATTAACCTGTATAAATAAAGGTTGAATGAATGAAAAACACAATGGTACTCCTTCTAGCTATTTAACAGTCAATAATGGTGTTATTTAGTTTCATTTCTCATTTTCAGTCTCAGTTTTAGGACCCACTCTCTTTACAATTCATACAAGTAATGTAGGTCAAAACATTCCAGACACCTACTGTATCCTGATGCATGCTCAATAATCCAGATAGAAAAATCAAAAAAAGTGAAATCCGGTCCTCTGGACATTCAAAAAACAAAACAAACTAAATAAAAAGTAGAAACATTTCATCTTTCATCCGAAAGACTTCTTCAGTCTGAGGCGCTGTATTCAGCTCAGTCTTATAAATAGCACCTTCTCATAGTGGAGCAGCAAACTGATTGATCCACTACGAGAAGGTGCCATTTACAAGACTGAGCTGAATACAGCGCCTCAGACTGAAGAAGCCTATCGGATGAAATATGAAACGTTTCTACTTTTTTTTTTTTTTTTTTTAGTTTGTTTTGTTTTTTGAAAACCCAGAGGACCAGATTTCACTTTTTTAGATTCCTGACACCTCCTTACATTTCTATGCTGACAATGCATTTGTTTATTGTTGAGCTAACACAGTTGCCAAGTTTTCCAGCTTCTACAGTCTGCATGACATCATTCAGTCAGACTTGTTCCATCTCAAATTGGTACTAAATGTTGATAAAACGAAGGGGATGTTGTTTTCAAACAGAAAGTTGGTGCCAGCAGTCCTTCCTCCTATCTTATCTACACATGGTGTTTCTATTGAGTTTGTAGATTCTTACAAATACTTTGGAATTTTAGTTGATGCACATCTCTCTTTTGATAAAGAAACTGAAATTAAAAATGGGTTTATTTTTCAAAAATAGATCTTAACTCTGAATGCCATGAAATTTCTTGTAGCTGCAACTTTCATACCGGCTATAGATTATAATGACATTATTTACATCAGTGGTCCCCAACCACCGGGCCATGGACTGGTACTGGTCCGTGGGTCAATTGGTACTGGGCCGTACAGAAAAAAGTTTTAGTTTGAAAAATCATTGGATTCTTTCCACCACATCTGTCAGTGACTCACTCTTGACACAGGTCAACATACACAAGTGGTTAGTTCAGTTTCTGATTGGCGTACATGCACAGATCGGTTCTACATTGCCCGTGCAAGTGGTGAGTAATTCAGCTGCGTGGTCTGGAGCAGACAGGTGAAGGCACGCGGCCGTATCTGCGCATTTGAAAGATTACACTGCATATTTTTCAACCCGTATTTTTCAACTGTAAAACTAAAACTAAATAAAACTATAATTTTAACTAGCTTCCTAATATCACATCAGAGCTGTTCCTTTGCATTTCCGATTCTGCTCTTAAAAAAAATCTCCACCCCTAAAAGTTCAAAGTTGTGGGCAATTTTATTAAAAAGCACAAAAATGCTATATAAATAAACTGAATTGAATTATAATTAAAAGTTTTGCACTACGCATACGTTCCTGTGTGTGAACAATCTGATACGGGGCAGACTGGCCATAGGGAGCACCGGGATATTTCCCGGTGGCATGGCCTGGCCCAGGGACTGGACTAAAGGCTCGGTTCAGGTCGCGTTCGATTATTTTAAATAAACAATCTGCTCTTGCCCAGCTCACTCAGGTCTCACTGAGGCTCCCTCGCCCGTCCTCTCTCTTTCTGAGGCTGTCTGTCACAGCAGACCGAGCAGAGACACACAGGTTGTGCGCGTGCGTGCCCTCGTGGACTCGCGCTTGCAAAGGTTATATGTTCGCGCATGGCACGGGCATCTCTATATGTCCACCGTTTCTCCAGTTTGGGTAATATAACTTGAATATTTGAGCGAGAGAGACAGCCAAAGAGAGAGAGGTGGAGCAGAGGGCAAATGAAAAAGAGAAACTGACCGCTGATGCAGCAAAGTGCAGTAAATTAATGTTTGTTCAAGAGAGCAGGTAAGACAGAAACATTAGTGGTGAAAAGTGAAAACTCCTCAGCCTATCAGCACAGCTAGTTGATGAAGTTAGTTCCACGTTAAGGGACCTAAGTGGGCCAAAACTTAATAAAACAGATGATTTAAGTTTTTACAAAGGATATTGTAAATTTTAGGAATATGTTTAACTAATAGGATCTGAAAAAAAGTTTAATGCTGAAATGTCCAAGAATTCTGATTTGGTGTACCCTTCATAAACTCCACTAATGAATTATCTGAATATTAAAATCCTTGTATATCATTTTATTTTACCAGGTAGTCCTGTTGAGATTAAGAGCATATTTGTTGTCATATAAACAAGCCATCATTAGGATTGTGTAAAGAAACTCGGTTCTCAAACCTTAGATTCACCAAAATAAATAAAATAATAATAAATGTTGAATAAATATGGAATAAATTATTAGTCTTAAAATGGATCGAAAAACCAGATTTATTTTTATTTTTTGCTGTAGACTGATCCGTGACCTCCTTGTCAATCAATCCAGAGGAACGTCAGCAACAGACCAATCAGCGACCTCAATTTGTCTTTAAGTGAATGCCCCTTACAGCAGCAGTTTTGCATTATGAACACTTTGCAGTCATATAAATTTCAATGAGTTTACATTTTTTGTTTCATGTTAATCTACTGTAATAAACCTTTGTAAAATACACCACAATGCAGGAAATGGCATCTACTTTATTAAAAATTCTCTGGGGAAGGACCCGCAAACCGAACCCCCCCACCCCCCCCAGGTCCATGAAAATATTGACTGACCTTAAACCGGTCCGTGGTGCAAAAAAGGTTGGGGACCACTGATTTACATGAATGCCCCTGCCAGCTGCTTGCAGATGTTGGATGCTGACTACCATGTGGCTCTAAGATTCATAACTGGCTGTAACTACCGTATCCATCACTGCACTCCGTACTCCTTGATAATGACACGTAGGCTCACACACTGGTACATTTTCATCTATAAATCACTTACTGGTCTTCTACCTTCTATCTTCTACCGTCAGGCTGTCTCTGTGTGCCTGTTTGGCTCAAGTTGGGTTTTGGGTGGCCCCCCTCTCTTGGACCAGTTTTGGCCCCGCATTTGGTGGGTCGTGCTCCCCCCCCGGTGGTGGGCCCCCCTGCCGCCGGTGCATTGGCGGCTCTCAGCAGCTGGGGCTGGGTGGTGGGGTGTGTGCAGGCCCGCCCTGGTGGCTGCCTGCGGGGGCCTGGGTGCCCTGGCTCTGTCGGGCCTCTGTTGGGGGGTGGTATGACCTCGGGACTCGGGGCTTGGTGTCCATGGCCGGATCCACTCTGGAGGGGAAGGTTGCCGGCGGGGCCTGTTGACTCGTCGCTACGGCCTCCTGGGGGTTTCTGCATTGTGGTTGCTGGGGATCGCCCGGGGCTTCCCTTTGCTTCTCTCTCTGGGGGATGCGGGTGTCCCTGTTGGGGGACTATCGGAGTTCCGGGCTTGGGGGCCGCTGTGTGTCTGTGGTTCCGGGCTTCCCTGTGTTACCTTCGTGTCCTACGGGGACGGGTTTATGGGTCTCCACATCCACTATTGAACATTTTTATGAGAAACCTTATAGTGATAAGCATGCTCACACAGGTGTTTAGATTCAGGTGTTTATCAGATACACACTCAGTTGGGTTGTGGTGGCCATCAAATATATATTGTATTACCATGTAATGTATAAAATACTTTCTAATGATGTTATAACTATCATTATATAAGTTGTTTGTTGTTGTGGTTTCTTAGTTTTGTCTGGGGTTTTTTTCTCTTTCAGCAGGTCTAGAGGCAGACTTCAATGATGTTGATTTGTGTTCTCTTTATCCCTCTCTCTCTCCTCTATTCCTATCTCCTTCTTTACATTTTAACTCTTCTCTCACTTTTCTGCTTTGTTATCTTCTTTGTTTTCCGTCCCCGTGTCCATTACATCTGAAACAAACCCAAAGCATATTCTAATAAAATTTAATTTATATATCAAGTGGAGCATTAAGGCCAGCCATAATGTTCTGCTTGTGAAAGTAAATCTGTTGGGCATCACTTTGACACTCAGACAATAATTCTAAGTGTCACAATGCCGGAGAGGACAAGGAGAAAGAAAAAAAAAAAAAGAGATCTCTTTTAAAATTGAGTTCTCATGTCTCAATGAGACTAGCCTGTATAAATAAAGGTTAAAAACAAAACATTACTGGCATTTGAGTTTGGGTGTTAAATAAACAAACATTTCTGAATCAACGACAAAGAAAATGCTTTACAGTAGGACTCCTCAAGGAGACGTTACCTCATGGTCCAGGTCCAAGTGGTCAAATTCCCCATTGGCTCTAAATTGCTGAGTGTGGTGGTCCAGCGTGAAATTAACACTTCTACGATAACGTTCAATAAGAATGGTGTGCCAGTGACCATCATCCAACAGGCTACCACTGGTCACAGAAGTGTGGCCTTGAATAGAACCATGTATGGGACTACTTCCTGGGAAGGAGCAAGCAAATCACACAAACTGATCAACTTAAATGTTTTGGTAGCAGAAGATAAGGTAGTAATACATAATACAACTCTGTATAAACCTGGTACTTAATTGTTGCATATCAGGTACACACTGGGTACATACGTAGGTACCTACAGGGACCGGGCTAGATTATAAAATATATTATAAAATTATAAAATATATATTATAAAATTACAAAATATATATTATAAAATGTCTTCAAACTCTAAACTTACAGGTTCCTGGTACTTAACTGGGGGCGGCTGTGGCTGAGTGGTTAGAGCAGTCGTTCTCCAATGCAAGAGTTGGGGGTTCGAATCCACCAGCAGTCACATTTCGAAGTGTCCCTGAGCAAGACATTGAACCCCTCCTTGCCTCCGATGTGTGTCCCATTGGTGTATGAATGTGATAAAGCTCTGACTAGTCTCTTTTGAATGATTTGTTCAATTAGCTTTGTAGAGATCAAGTAGAGTGCTGTATGAATGGGTAAATGAGGACACAGATTTTAGTGTAAAGCACTTTGAGTGTGCTGATAAGATAGAAAGGCGGTATATAAGTACAGTTCATTTACCATTAAACTGGTATGTTCCAGATACATACCCAGTAAAGCACCACTTATATGATTGGTACCTTGTGACTTCGTACAGGTTCTTTCTCGAGTACATATTGGTACTTGCATGGTATGCACCCATGAAGTACTCGGTAAGTACTGAGCTGTATTATGTACTGCTAGAAATGATACATACAGTCCTTTAAATGGCTTCAGATATTTCTGGGACTTCTGAAACAAAATTAAAAAGTACCTAAATTGATGCTGAGTTGTAGTGTTGCCCTGCGAAGCTCCAGGGAAATATAGTCTCCCTGTTGTCCCTCTCCATGGAGTAGAACACCATCTCTGGCTGTGGTCCGAAACGTCAGAGAGAAAACATCTCTCGTTGTTTTCATCTTTTTACCCCTGAAACGGTTGGAGATGATGCCAGAGCCATCAAAACTGATCACATCGGCCCCTGAAGAAAGGAAGAACAGAGTAAACAGGAGTACCGTATACAGCACATTACAAGTGCTGGTCATAAAATTAGAATATCATGAAAAAGTTTATTTATTTCAGTAATCCCATTAAAAAAGTGAAACTTATGCACAATCTTCCCTCTAATTTTTCATGTGTCTGGGCAAACACAAACTCCCAGAACACACTGAGGACCACTGTGAGCAACATCAGATGTGCACGCTGAGGTCACACAGGGTGGGAGGGAGGGAGGGAGGGAGGATGGATGGATGGATGGATGGATGGATGGATGGAGTATGTTATATGTGAGTCCTGCTTTGGTCTGGGTGAGGGTCCTGCTCTGGAAAATGGTGGCTATTGGTGTCAGAAGCATATTTGTAATGTGGGGGGGGGGGGGGGGGGGGGG